CGCTCCCGAAACCCCCACAACATGGACAACGCCATCTAGTAGTGACAAGACTATACAAGCCAGAAATACTAGATTCTTGTCCTGGTAGCTCGAGAAGCAGCCGGTGCTGACCTCTGGTGAGGTGATGCTTAGACAATCAGCGCCATCTATTGAGTGAAAAGGTGTACGTTTGTGTCTAAGCCAGTAAGTGATATGTCCTAGTTTTCCCATGTACTGTTCCAGTGTACTGATGACGTGTCTGTGTTCACAGAGTCGACGTAGGGCTGCTGTGATACAAGAACAGTCAGTCTACCCAGGGCAGCCAAGGTCTCTACACCAGTCTGTTTTAAGGAAGCAGTGAGCCGCTGCTGGAAGAGGACTGTGAAGTGTTCTACTGTCTGCCTGTGGAGTGGCAGTGACGGGATTCGCCGTATCCGGGGCTGGCTGGTAGAAGAGACAACTGACTAAGGTGCTGAAGAGGAGAGTAACCAGCGAGTTGCACGACGCTCCTGCCTAGGGCTCGCTACCCTAGTATCTGCAAGTGAAGTGGCCCAACAGCGAGGCTGATTGGTACCTGCCAGCAACAGGCTGGACTGTGGTTGTGGGCCTTCATGAAGAGGCACTTAGCGGATTTGTGGTTTGGCTGGCCCGTGGCCAGGGCGGACTCATCGTTGTTTCCTGGTACCTGCTGAGGGTAGGCCACGGATGAGGAAACGCAGTACAAGACTGCAACGAATGAGCTTCGCCGAGTGTTTAGTGTCTTCATAGAGAGACATTGTTGTACATATAATGTAGTAATACTTCCATCTAAGAGTTTTATATATAAATGGTAATGGGAAAAATAATTATATATGGATAAAGTGATGAACTGGTGTATTTAATGTACCTCCCCTTTTGTTTTACCTGCATTACTGAGCTCACCCCTTGAAAGCCTCTACTAACTTGGGGCCGGATACCAGAACTTTAGTACCACCTGAAAAGAACCCGGTTGCGTCCCATTAGGGCCGTAACAAGGACCCACCAGGACCCACCAGTCACCAGGACCCACCAGTGACCATGACCCAACACTTACTGGCGTGGTCCTTGGTGACAATGACGGTGAACCCGGTGACATTGTTACACTGTAGACTCTGAGCGATGGTGTCGAAGTGAGACTCAAGATCGTCGCAGAGGTTGAGAGCATCTCTGCCTGTGGCGTTGAGGTAGAGGCTCCAGTCCTCCTTCCTGTTCGAGTCCATCAGGTTGCTCATCGTCCCAATCAGGTCCTGGAAGACGCAGGCAGAAAATGGGTATATATGAGACAATTACAGTAATGGGGGAGTGGAGGAAGCCTGCCCAAGACTCCCATAATGCATTACCCCATGTTCCTGTTCAGTTACCCGTTCCTGTCAAGAACACAACTAATCCCCATATACAAACACACACATGAGCGTATACATGCATGTATTCTCCAACACCCACATGCATCAATGACCAACAATGGACATCAATACTCACCAAAGACTTGGAAGCATCAGCAATATTGATGCAGGCGGGTTGGTCGTCCGGGTCAGCTACTCTCCTGATGTTGGTGACGGTCGTGTTGAACCAGCGGAGCCTCGCGCTGGTGGCTGTGGGGGGGTGGAGGCTTCCTCATGTGGTGTTAGAGTATGGGGGGGTGGAGGCTTCCTCATGTGGTGTTAGAGTATGGGGGGGGGGGTGGCAGCTTCCTCATGTGATGTTAGAGTATGGGGGGGGGGGTGGAGTAATCTCTTCTAACAATGGGAGCCACTCTGGCTCGGTAGTGAACACTCCATGGAAACTTGCATTCAGTACCTCGCAGATTTCCTTGTCGCTTTCTGTATATGCCCCTTCTGTTTTCCTCAGTCTTGTCACTTGGTCATTTACCGACATCTTCCTTCTTATATGGCTATGTAGTAATTTAGGTTGCTTTTTCGCTTTGATTGTAATATCATTGTCATAATTTCTTTCCGACACTCGTCTTATGTTAATGTAATCATTCCTAGCTCTGTTACATCTAATCCTGTTTTCCTCTGTCCTTTGTCTTCTGTACTTCCTCCACTCCCTCCTGCTTCTCACTTTTGCTTCCTGACACTGTATATTAAACCATGGGTTATTATATTCCCTCCTGCTTTTTTCCTTTACTGTTGGAATAAATCTCTTCAGCCTCCTTGCATTTCCATATGACTTGGTTCATCATACCTTGCACTGTTTTTCCTCTAAGTTCTTCCTCCCACTGCACTTCTCCCAGGTAGTCCCTTATCCTCCTGTAGTCCCCTTTTCTGTAATCAAGTCTCCTTTCCCGGACCTCTTGCCTTTTGGTCACAATTTTAAGCTCCATCATGTAGTCAAAGACTAGGACACAATGGTCACTGGCTCCTAGCGGTATTTCATGTTCCAAATGCTCGATGTCTTCTACATTCTGGGTGAAAACGAGGTCTAATAGGCTGGGCGTATCCCCTCCTCTTTCCCTAGTGTCTTCCTTCACATGCTGTGTTAGGAAATTCCTGTTAATAACGTCTACCAGCTTCGCTCCCCAGGTCTCCTCCCCACCATGGGGATTCCTCGTTTCCCAATCTATCTCTCCGTGATTTAGGTACCCCATGACCAGCAGCTTCGCTCTCATTCTATGCGCTATAGTTGCTGCCCTCTGCAGTTCATCTATACATGTCTTGTTGCTGTCCTCATACTCCTGCCTGGGCCTTCTACTGTTTGGTGGGGGATTGTAGAGTATCAAGATTACAATCTGCTTCCCATCCACTGTCAGATTTCCATGTATTGAGTTTGTGCTTTCACTGGTACCCGGATTTTCCATCTCATCAAACTTCCATTTCCGCTTTATTAGGAGTGCCACTCCTCCTCCCTGTCTCTGTGTCCTTTCTTTTCTTATCACCTGGTACCCTCTGGAAAGATTGCATCCGAGATCATGCCATTTATTTTAGTTTCCGCTATTGCCACTATGTCTGGGTCTGCCTCACTAACTCTTTCTTTTATCTCTTCTGCTTTATTGGATACCCCATCAGCATTGGTGTACCAAACCTTGAGACTCTTCTTGGAAACTCTGGTGTCAGAGTTCCCCTTTCACCAGGGGTCTGGAGGGGGGGGGGGGGGGGGGGGGTGAGTGGGGGCTGTGAGGGTTACCTGGGGGGGGGGGGTGCTAGGAGGGTGCCTGGGAGTGCCTGGTAGGCGAATGGGGTCTGGGCATCTAGGGGGGGGTAGGAAGGGCATAATGGGTCTGAAAGTTAGGGTCTGAATTGCATAGGGGAGTTGAGAAGTAGAGCGAGACTGAGAGTCAGATAGAGGTTGGGGAAGTGGGGGGGGGGAGGGATATTGAGGGCAGAGGGCTGAGAGGAGAATGGAGCATGGGTGCTGGGAGTGGAAGAGAGGGTGTATTAGTTAGGGGGGAATCGGGGGTAGGTGGGGGTTTTGGGGTAGAAGAGGGGAAGAGGGAGATGGGGGAAGGTGTTAGGGGGTCACAAGGTGAGGGGGTTAAATGTGGGCTGGAGGGGCATAGGAGGGGTGAGGGTTGGGTGGGGTTTGGGGGTGAGTGGAAGAGGGATGCAGTGGAAGCTGGGATGGAGTAGATGGAAGTGAAGGCAATGGGGTAGAAGGGGCAGGGGAGTAGGAAGGGATAGTAGGGGAGGGGGGATGGGAAGGCGAGTTTGGGGAGGGCATGGCTTGACCCACTGGGGTCGTTGACAGGTGTGATGTAGCAGGGGCAGGGGAATCGTTGGGGAGGTGCAAATGTGGAAGGGGCAGGGGGGGTTTTGGGGGGCTGAGGCAGGTGGGAGGTATAGGAGGGCTGAGTTGGGGAGGATGTGACCTGGGAGGTGAGGCTACCTGAGAGGCTAGGGGTACGGTGTCGTGCTTGCCATCTATTCTTGTGGGCTATTTGCTCATCTTTCGTCACAAACTTTTCAATAAACACATTGTAATGGGTTTCACTTCCTCTGAGTAAATGCTTGTTCCTCATTATGTACTCCACAGCCTCCTCATTGGAGAATTGCACCAGAACAGGTCTATTCTTGGTACAATTGTAAGGTACAACCCGGCGGCTGATGTCCACCTCGTTTCCTGCCATTAATGCTCCAATACATCTCAGTATCTCATGCAATTCATATTATTCCGTCTCTATCTTTTCTTGTTTTGTTGGTGCCCCAGATTTGAATAATCCATGTATTTTTTTTTAGATATATACAAGAGTTGTTACATTCATAGTATTATAATGGTCCTTCTCTTTAGTAATTCACTGTCATGCTGGTAGCCCGTCCCCTGGAGATTCCCCATCCCAACCACACTCACTAACTCATCCCCCACTAATCCTGTGTCCTGTGTGTGTGTGTGTGTGTGTGTGTGTGTAAGCCAGGTTTGTTTTCCCGGTTCTTGCGTGTTCGATCTTTCCGGTTCCTGTAATTACCTAAGTGTAGTTACAGGATGAGAGCTACGCTCGTGGTGTCCCGTCTTCCCAGCACTCTTTGTCATATAACGCTTTGAAACTACTGACGGTCTTGGCCTCCACCACCTTCTCACCTAACTTGTTCCAACCGTCTACCACTCTGTTTGCGAAAGTGAATTTTCTTATATTTCTTCGGCATCTGTGAGTTCCGGTGTGCGCTTATTTGTGGAGTGGTTGCGTGTCCTTCGGGCTGCTTGTGTGGCCGTGACTGTTTTTGTTCCCATTATCATGAATTGCCGATGTTAATTTCTGTTTGTTTATGTGTTTTATTTTTATGTTTCCTTTCTTCTTATTGTCATTATGTCTTGTGCCTCTCCGTGTGTGGTTCCCTGGGCCGGTAGGCTCCTTTTGTATTGTGTTTCGATGGTTGGGTTGTTGGGAGCGGGTTTGGGTACTATGGATTTTCCTGTTGTTATTTCTGTAATGTCTTGCATTATGTTTGTACTTTTTTTGTTGGATTTTGTTGTTGGTCCGTCAGGCCGGTATTGTTGTTGGTCCGTCAGGGCGGTATTGTTGTTGGTCCGTCAGGCCGGTATTGTTGTTGGTCCGTCAGGCCGGTATTGTTGTTGGTCCGTCAGGCCGGTATTGTTGTTGGTCCGTCAGGCCGGTATTGTTGTTGGTCCGTCAGGCCGGTATTGCTGTTGGTCCGTCAGGCCGGTATTTAGTGTCTTGGTAAGTTTGTACTTTTCTGCTTTGTGATTTGTGTTCTGTTTGTTTTGTTCTCGTTTTATTGTATTTATACGCATGCTTGCATGTAAAAAAAATAAATAGGAAATCGTGTTGCAAGATCCGCATGATGTGTATCACCGCGCCCCTCCCCCCCGCGGGGGACAGCAGGACAACGGTCACTAGGGAGGGGGTGTGTCACCAAGCACCCCCCCCCCCCCCCGGGGGTCACTAGGGAGGGATGTGTCACCAAGCCGGCCCCCCCCCCCCGGGGCAGCAGGACAGCGGTCACTAGGGAGGGATGTGTAGTGATCTGCTCAAAACCCACCACCTTCTCTACTCCTAAAGCTGCACACTCCCAGAGAAGTTATGAGACACATCTGACTCTTTACATCTAGGGTAGTAAATATATTTACTAAATTAGGTTCATATTGCACAAGCCTATAGGAAAATAGGCTTATTTAGTTTAGGTCACGTTGCTAAGTTAGGCTTGACTTAAAATATACAAAATGTATGCCATAACAGTTAAGCTGAACGTAACTATCAGTGCGTCAGATAACAATTATCGACAAAATATCATAATTAAGGGAATTCGGTTGTGGACAAGTTGCGGTGTTGTGCGGTGGTGTTGGTACCTTGAGTATTGTTGGTGAGGACGACGGGAGGGTTGTAGTCGGGGTCGGTCATGGCCTCCAGGGCGCCCACCGCCTCCTGCTGCTGCACCGGGTCACTCAGGTCTATGGAGTCCGGCGAGTCCAGCAGCTTGCTAAACTCTTCGGGCGACATGTTTTGTTGCTCTCCCTCTGTGGGGCAGACAGTAACTTTAGCGTGAGGAACTACTTGACGGAGGTCCGGTCAAACACCTGAGTGTGAGGAACTACTTGACGGAGGTCCGGTCAAACACCTGAGTGTGAGGAACTACTTGACGGAGGTCCGGTCAAACACCTGGGTGTGAGGAACTACTTGATAGAGGTCCAGTCAAACACCTGAGTGTGAGGAACTACTTGACGGAGGTCCGGTCAAACACCTGAGTGTGAGGAACTACCTGACAGAGGTCCAGTCAAACACCTGAGTGTGAGGAACTACTTGACGAAGGAACAATTTAACGCTTGAGGTGTCAAGAACTATCTGATCGAGTGACAGTTAAATGCCTGACTGTGAACTAGTAATTAGTAAAGGGACACGACTTAAAAGCCCTGACATGTTAAGCTTTTCTAAAATTTAAGCCATCATAATCTGAGGAAAGAATATGTATACAAGGAAGAGTCAGGCAGGCAGATCTGACCGTAGCCGCCCAGGAAATAGACGGTCTCGTTGTCTGCGAGGCGTCTCTCCCAGAAGGCCAGTTCGTCCAAGTCTCCAGTGTCATAGTAGCGGTAGTCGAGGTTGGTGGCATCCTTGTGGCACCCGATCATCACTTCTGGAGGATTGAGGGTCGTCTGTCCGGTGCTGGCCACGCCAGTCTTCTTGAAGAACACACTTCTGTCGTTGATGAAGCCCTGTGGGTGAGAGGGGGAGTGTTGTGGGCGGTTATGATGGACAACGACACTGACTATACTACACAAATACAGTTATAATAGAATGTAGGATGCAAGTTACATGTTGCAGAAGATTTCTGATGTAGTCAAGTGGTAATGGGATTTAAAATGATCATTAAGGATTTATAAGCCTCGGAATTGAGACTTCACACTTGCCAGTGGTAGAATGATAGGACAAGAAAACCTTTAAAGTGAAAGTTTTCCTTCTGCCATTATGCTCACATTCAAGAAAAAGAGATAAAAGATATGTTTAGAATGAAGGAAGACTGACCTCGATACCGTTAGTGGGATCCCATCGTATGCCAATGTTGGTCCAGGTGAAGTTGCCCACTGACCCCACCACCTTCTCCTTCCAGTACATGTTGCCGGTTGACACCAGTGCCACAAGGAAGAGGCCCTGGTTGTAGAGTGCCACGCCAGGGTGCCCGTCGGTGTCCCCACCTACACCCGAACACACCACATTCAGTATACTTCACGGTACAACCTATACTTGACACTATGCTCTCTAGCTGACCTGTCGCATCACATTCTCTTCACATTGAGAACACCAATTACCTTCACACATTTAGCCTCGTTTAGTATATATTCATTATATTCAGAGATGCAGAGTCATTATATTCAGAAATATTATTTATTCAGAGATGCCGTCTACTCTACTGCCCTCGAGTACCTCGGACCAGCAACCCACAGAAACCAGGACTGGTTCGACGAAAACTATGAGATACAGGTATTGCTATAAAAAAACTCACTGTTCGATGCACCAAAGAAAGACCCTACATCACAAGGGAAAAAAGATGCCTTTGCCAGTGCCCAAAGAATGGTGCAAAGGAAACTCCGTGAGATGCAGGATGCATGGTTTAGCAAGAAGGCCGATGAAATCCAAGGTTATGCAGACAGTCACGACACCAAGCGTTTCTATGACGCTCTGAAGGCTGTAACTGAACCACAGCCCTCTGGCTCCACATCTCTCCTCAGTGCAGACGAGACTCAACTGTTGACAAAGAAAAAGCTGATCTTGGACAGATGGGTTGAACAAGTTGATCAAGTCCTTAACCACCCTGCCTCAACGATGAGGTCATTGCTCGCCTACCTCAAGTAGAGATCAACCTGGACCCTAATAAGCCTCCCACAGAAGAAGTCAGGAAGGCCATCAAGCAGCTTTCCTGTGGCAAGGCGCCAGGATCAGATGCAATCCTTGCTGAAGTATACACAACAGGAGGCCCGGCCATGATGGAGAAACTGACATAGCTCTTCCAGTCCATGTGGAATGAAGGGTAGGTCCCACAACAGTTAAAGATGCCAGCATGGTTCACATCTATAAGAGGAAAGGCAACCGACAGTCTTGCGATAATCACTGGGAATTTCACTCCTGTCCATCGCCGAGAAGATCATGGCTCATATCCTGCTCAACAGTCTCCATCAACCCCTTGAGCAGGGTCTCCTTCCAGAAAGCTAGTGCGGCTTCAGCGCAGAACGGGGAACTGTCGATATGATATTTGCTGCACGCAAGTTCCAAGAAATATCCCAAGAGCAACATAACAACCTCTTCGTGACCTTCGTCGACCTAACCAAGGCCTTCGATACGGTTAGCAGAGATGGCTTGTGGAAAATAAGAGAAGTTTGGCTGTCCCGGCAAGTTCACTGTGATTGGCAAGTTCTCGGCCATGCTCACTAACGCCTTCCATGATTACCAGGATGGAATATCCATCAGATACAGGACTGACGGTGAGCTGTTCAACCTCAGGCACCTACAGGCCATTACAAAGGTCAAGGAAACCTGTTTGCTGATGACTGCACCCTCAACGCCAGCCCAGAGTAAATGATGTAGAACGAAACGGACTGCTTCTCACAAGCCTGCGACAACTTTGGTCTCATCATCAGCACCAAAAAGACTAAAGTCATGTACCAATCCACACCAGAATACCCTACCAAGAACCGCACATTACTGTCAAGAGGCAGAACCTGTAGGCAGTTGACAACTTCACATATCTTGGCCCCATTCTCTCAAGAGAACATTGATGCAGAAGTCAACAACTGGATCGCCAAGACCAGTGCCGCCTTTGGAAGATTCCGTGAGAATATCTGGCAAAGGAGGGGCCTCAGCCTTGCCACCAAACTGAAGGTCTACCCTGCAGTGGTACTCACCACCCTTCTCTACGCCAGCGAGACCTGAACTGTCGAAAGCACACACCAAACAACTAAATCACTTTCACTTGAGCTGCCTCCACATCAAGTGGCAGGACAAAATCCCGGACACGGAGGTCCTGAAAGGGGCCGCTATTCCCAGCATCTACACCCTCCTACAGAAAACTCAGGCCGGATGGGCAGGCCCCGTTGTCAGAATGACTGACAGCCGACTGCCTAAATGCTGTATGGAGAATTATACCAGGGCACTCGTTCTGTTGAGGGGCAAAAGAAACGATTCAAGGTCTGCCTCAAGGTGACCCTCAAAGACCTGGACATTAACATCAATACTTGGGAGTCACTTGCTCAGGATCGTCCAACTTGGAAAAGTAAAGTCCTACAGGGATCATCCGGCAGAAAATAGAGGGACTGCAGAGGTCCAGAGGAAATGCCCCGCGTGCAAAGCTAGAGCAACCTCCACCTCTGCAGTAGCCGCCACCCACACGTGTCGGTGTGCGGGGGAGCCTTCCGGACAAAGACTGGTCTCATCCTCCATCTGACACACAGCCATCAACCTTCGAACTGATATATTGTAGTCAAGATCATCTACGCATCCGAAAGACGAACATCAGATCATCAAAAGAAGTGTTGGTGGACGTACCGGTGGACAGGAGGTACTGCATGGGGTACGACAAGTAGTTGCGGGCGCCCAGGAACTCTTGTAGAGAAAAGTTTTTCCTCTCCCAGATGCTGAAGCTGAGGCCTTGCGTGCACTTGCTGGGGTCGTATATGCAGGAGGTGTTGCTCACGAAGTTCACCATAGACAGGCACTGAGTAACCACAGGAGACAGCCCGGCATGGGTACAGGACAGATGGACAGGCCAGGACAGGAAGAGGGACAGACCAGGTCAGGGAAAAGAAAAATGAGAACGTAATTATAATAATAAATAGTAATAATACATGGAGTAAAGTTGCTATTATTAGTAATATTGCCTGTGAGAATTTCAATGCCTTGTTATTTATACTGTATTCTATGGTAATATTTGCGCGCGCGCACGCACGCACACACACACACACACACACACACACACACACACACACACACACACACACACACACACACACACACACACACACACACACAGGTGAGTACATGAGGGGATTAAAAAAGTTGATATAGAAGCAAGTTGAACGGACTAGATAAGGAAGTTGCTTTAGTTAATTCGATGCGCAGTTTTAAATGTAAATATACGAAAAACTAGTGAAAAAATCACGGAATTGAACTAATGAGGGTCGAAAGGCGAGACTTAAGAGCCAGAGCTCAACCCCCGCATCAACAACTAGGCGAGTACACAAAAAAGATACAAGGTAATACCTGTTTATTATTGGCGTTCAACCTGACGCCGTAGGCAAAGCTGAAGGGTCCAGAGACGCGCTCGAAGTTGTTCTCGGCGCCGCTGACGCTGGTCATCAGGGCCGCCATCTCCCCCACGTGGAAGTTGGTGGTGTTGACATAGGCCTGAGCTGCCGACCCAACCACACACCACGTTACATGATTACCACACTCCTCCACACTACTACATGTCTTGTTCGTGTCACCACTGTGTGTGTGTGTGTGTGTGTGTGTGTGTGTGTGTGTGTGTACTCACCTATTTGTACTCACCTATTTGTGCTTGCAGGGGTTGAGCTTTGGCTCTTTGGTCCCGCCTCTCAACTGTCAATCAACTGGTGTACAGATTCCTGAGCCTACTGGGCTCTATCATATCTACATTTGAAACTGTGTATGGAGTCAGCCTCCACCACATCACTGCCTAATGCATTCCATCCGTTAACTACTCTGACACTGAAAAAGTTCCTTCTAACGTCTCTGTGGCTCATGTGGGTACTCAGTTTCCACCTGTGTCCCCTTGTTCGCGTCCCACCAGTGTTGAATAGTTTATCCTTGTTTACCTGGTCGATTCCTCTGAGGATTTTGTAGGTTGTGATCATGTCTCCCCTTACTCTTCTGTCTTCCAGTGTCGTAAGGTGCATTTCCCGCAGCCTTTCCTCGTAACTCATGCCTCTTAGTTCTGGGACTAGTCTAGTGGCATACCTTTGAACTTTTTCCAGCTTCGTCTTGTGCTTGACAAGGTACGGGCTCCATGCTGGGGCCGCATACTCCAGGATTGGTCTTACATATGTGGTGTACAAGATTCTGAATGATTCCTTACACAGGTTCCTGAACGCTGTTCTGATGTTAGCCAGCCTCGCATATGCCGCAGACGTTATTCTTTTTATGTGGGCTTCAGGAGACAGGTTTGGTGTGATATCAACTCCTAGATCTTTCTCTCTGTCCGTTTCATTAAGTACTTCATCTCCTATTCTGTATCCTGTGTCTGGCCTCCTGTTTCCACTGCCTAGTTTCATTACTTTGCATTTACTCGGGTTGAACTTCAACAGCCATTTGTTGGACCATTCACTCAGTCTGTCTAGGTCATCTTGTAGCCTCCTACTAGATCCTCTGTTTCAATCCTCCTCATAATTTTTGCATCATCGGCAAACATTGAGAGAAACGAGTCTATACCCTCTGGGAGATCATTTACATATACCAGAAATAGTATAGGTCCAAGGACTGACCCCTGCGGGACTCCACTCGTAACGTCTCGCCAATCTGAGACCTCACCCCTCACACTGACTCGTTGTCTCCTGTTGCTTAGGTACTCCTTTATCCAATGGAGTACCTTCCCTTTCACTCCAGCCTGCATCTCCAGCTTTTTCACTAGCCTCTTGTGTGGCACTGTATCAAAGGCTTTCTGACAATCCAAAAATATGTAGTCTGCCCACCCTTCTCTTTCTTGCCTTATTTTTGTTGCCTGGTCGTAGAATTCAAGTAACCCTGTGAGGCAGGACCTGCCATCCCTGAACCCATGTTGATGCTGTGTTACAAAGTTCTTTCGCTCCAGGTGCTCCACTAGCTTTCTTCGCACAATCTTCTCCATCAGCTTGCATGGTATGCAGGTTAGGGACACTGGCCTGTAATTCAGTGCCTCCTGTCTATCCCCTTTCTTGTATATCGGGACTATGTGTGTGTGTGTGTGTGTGTGTGTGTGTGTGTGTGTGTGTGTGTGTGTGTGTGTGTGTGTACTCACCTAGTTGTACTTACCTAGTTGTGTTTGCAGGGGTTGAGCTCTGGCTCTTTGGTCCCGCCTCTCAACTGTCAATATACTGGTGTACAGATTCCTGAGCCTACATGGGCTCTATCATATCTATATTTGAAACTGTGTATGGAATCAGCCTCCACCACATCACTACTTAATGCATTCCATTTGTTAACTACTCTGACACTGAAAAAATTCTTTCTAACGTCTCTGTGGCTCATCTGGGTACTAAGTTTCCACCTGTGTCCCCTTGTTCGTGTCCCACCCGTGCTAAAGAGTTTGTCTTTGTCCACCCTGTCAATTCCCCTGAGAATTTTGTAGGTGGTTATCATGTCTCCCCTTACTCTTCTGTTTTCCAGGGATGTGAGGTTCAGCTCCCTTAGCCTTTCCTCGTAGCTCATACCTCTCAGTTCCGGGACGAGTCTGGTGGCATACCTCTGAATCTTCTCTAACTTCGTCTTGTGTTTAACTAGGTATGGACTCCAGGCTGGAGCTGCATACTCCAGGATTGGTCTGACATAAGTGGTATACAGGGTCCTGAACGATTCCTTACACAAGTTTCTAAAGGCAGTTCTTATGTTGGCCAGTCTAGCATATGCCGCTGATGATATCCTTTTGATGTGGGCCTCTGGGGACAGGTTCGGTGTGATATCGACCCCCAGATCTTTCTCTCTATTTGACTCTTGCAGGATTTCACCTCCCAGATGGTACCTTGTGTTCAGCCTCCTGCTCCCTTCGCCTAATTTCATTACTTTACACTTTCCTGAGTTGAACTTTAGTAGCCATTTTCTAGACCATTCCTCCAGTTTGTCCAGGTCGTCCTGTAGTCTCTGTCTATCTTCATCTGTCTTGATTCTTCTCATAATTTTTGCATCATCAGCAAACATTGAGAGGAATGAGTCTATACCCTCTGGAAGATCGTTTACATATATTAGAAACAGGATGGGTCCAAGTACTGAGCCCTGTGGGACTCCGCTGGTGACATCTCGCCACTCTGATGTCTCCCCCCTCACAGTTACTCGCTGTTTCCTGTTGCTTAGATACTCCCTTATCCACTGGAGCACCTTACCTTTAACTCCTGCCTGTTGCTCCAACTTTTGTAACAGCCTTTTGTGAGGTACTGTGTCAAAGGCTTTCTGACAGTCCAAGAAAATGCAGTCTGCCCACCCTTCTCTTTCTTGCCTAATTTTTGTTGCGTGGTCATAGAATTCTATTAAACCTGTGAGGCACGATTTACCATCTCTGAACCCATGCTGGTGGTGTGTTACAAAGCTGTTTCCCTCCAGATGCTCTACGAGCCTTTTCCTCACAATCTTCTCCATCACCTTGCATGGTATACAAGTTAGGGAAACTGGCCTGTAGTTCAGTGCCTCTTGCCTGTCACCCTTTTTGTATATTGGGACTACATTAGCTGTCTTCCAGCTTTCTGGAAGGTCTCCCGTTTCCAGTGACCTGTTATACACCATAGAGAGTGGCACACTTAGTGCTTCTGCACCTTCTTTTAGAATCTACGGTGATATTCTGTCAGGCCCAACAGCCTTTGACACATTCAGCTCCAACAGATTCCTTTTGACCTCATGACTGGTGAGATAAAATTCCTCCAAGGTTGTTCGGTTTGCCTCCTCATTTAGTGCAGGGACCTTTCCTTGTTCTATTGTGAAGACCTCCTGGAATATCTTGTTGAGTTCTTCACACACCTCCTTGTCGTTCTCTGTGTATCTGTTCTCCCCTTTTCTCAGTTTCATCACTTGTTTCTTCACTGCTGTTTTCCTCCTGATGTGGCTGTGGAGCAGTTTTGGTTGGGTCTTAGCTTTACTCGCGATGTCATTTTCATACTGTCTCTCTGCTTCTCTCCTCACTCTGATGTACTCATTTCTGGCCCTCTGGTATCTCTCCCTGCTCTCTGGTGTTCTGTTATTCCTGTAGTTTCTCCATGTTCTATTACTCAATTGCTTCGCTGCCGCACATTCCTGGTTGAACCGTGGATTCTTCTGTTGCTTTTAATTCTCCTCCTTTGGACTGGGATAAACCTGTCTGCAGCTTCCTGTCACTTTTGAGTGACATAATCCATCATCACCTGTATAGTCTTTTCTCTGAGTTCTGTTTCCTTATGGTATTCCCATTAGGAAGTTCTTCATCTCGTCATATTTTCCTCTTCGGTAATTTAGTCTTTTTCCTTCCAATCCCATCCTTGGATAGGTTATCCCTACTTCTTCCAGATACTCAAATATCAACGTACTGTGGTCACTCATTCCTATGGGGGCTTCATATTTGACTTCCCTTATTTCTGAGTCATTTAAGGTGAAAATCAGGTCGAGTCTAGCTGGTTCGTCATTTCCTCTCATTCTTGTGGGCCCCTTGACATGTTGGCTCAGAAAGTTCCTTGTACTCACTTCCAAAAGTTTAGATCTCCATGTGTCTTCACCTCCATGTGGGTGCCCATTCTCCCAGTCTATCTTTCCATGGTTGAAATCGCCCACGATTAAGAGTCTGGATCCATTCCTGCAGGCAACTGAAGCTGCTCTCTCTATTATGTTAATGGTAGCCATGTTGTTTCTGTTGAACTCTTGTCTGGGTCTTCTGTCATTTAATGGAGAGTTGTAAATGACTGCCACTATTATCTTAGGTCAACCCATTGTCATAGTTCCTGTTATGTAATCTCTGAATCCGTCGCAGCCCGGAATTTCCATCTCTTCAAAGCTCCAGTCCTTCCTTATCAGCAGAGCCACTCCTCCTCCTCTCCCGTCTCTTTCTTTCCTTACTATATAAAAGTCCTTTGGAAACACAGCATTTGTTATGACTCCTGACAATTTTGTTTTTGTGAGTCCTATTACATCTGGGTTTTCTTCCTGCGCCCTTTCTGCCAGTTCACTTGCTTTGTTGGTAACCCCATCGATGTTTGAGTACATTACCTTGAAGCTCACTTTCTTATATCCAATTCCTTTGTGTGTGTGCCTGTGTGCGCGTGTGCGTGTGCGCAGACACAGCAAAAGGGTGGAATGAAGAATTCAAAACAGAAAGGCGTCCATATGTGATTACCACTGCTTCTGGATATTGCCTCTGTTACTGAATATATTTTAGATAATGTGAACATTAGAATTAGATGGATAGATGGATGAACAGAAGGATAGATACATGGGTGGATAGATATAAATGAATAGGGTTATGGGTTTTCACCAGCTAAACCTGGTGAAAACCCTAAACCTAAACCATACTTCTACTAGTGTCGAGTGCACGTGAGGCTCGCCGTGCACCGGGCACGTGAGGCTCGGGGTGCACCAGGCACGTGAGGCTCGGCGTGCACCGGGCACGTGAGGCTCGCCGTGCACCGGGCACGTGAGGCTCGGGTGCACCAGGCACGTGAGGCTCGGCGTGCACCGGGCACGTGAGGCTCGCCGTGCACCGGGCACGTGAGGCTCGGGGTGCACCAGGCACGTGAGGCTCGGCGTGCACCGGGCACGTGAGGCTCGGCGTGCACCGGGCACGTGAGGCTCGGCGTGCACCGGGCACATGAGGCTCGGGATGCACCAGGCACGTGAGGCTCGGCGTGCACCGGGCACGTGAGGCTCGGGGTGCACCAGGCACGTGAGGCTCGCCGTGCACCGGGCACGTGAGGCTCGGGGTGCACCAGGCACGTGAGGCTCGGCGTGCACCAGGCACGTGAGGCTCGGCGTGCACCGGGCACGTGAGGCTCGCCGTGCACCGGGCACGTGAGGCTCGCCGTGCACCGGGCACGTGAGGCTCGCCGTGCACCGGGCACGTGAGGCTCGCCGTGCACCAGGCACGTGAGGCTCGCCGTGCACCAGGCACGTGAGGCTCGCCGTGCACCGGGCACGTGAGGCTCGCCGTGCACCGGGCACGTGAGGCTCGGCGTGCACCGGGCACGTGAGGCTCGCGTGCGGCACGTGAGGCTCGCCGGGCACGTGAGGCTCGCCGTGCACCAGGCACGTGAGGCTCGCCGTGCACCAGGCACGTGAGGCTCGCCGTGCACCAGGCACGTGAGGCTCGGCGTGCACCGGGCACGTGAGGCTCGCCGTGCACCAGGCACGTGAGGCTCGCCGTGCACCGGGCACGTGTGGCTGGTCGTGCACCGGGCACGTGAGGCTCGGCGTGCACCGGGCACGTAAATGGCCGTGCACTCGGACTAGATTTGCTAACCCGTGCACGAGACATCAAGTGTTTAGGCTCGTTGAATAGTCTGGGTCATCAGCATTCCAAATATGTTACAATGGCCGTTGTAGCGCAGTTGTGGAAAGAGTTCGAGCGAGGAGCAGCTTTATCTGTACAAGAGTGAGGGAGGCAGCAGACAGAGAAGCCAAATAGGTACACAAATGTTGTGGAAACAGAGCGTGTAGCAGATTACAACTGCAAGAGATTGAGGGAGACAGAGAAGCGAGAGAGGAGCGGCAGGGAAGCTGAGAGGGACCAGCCACCACCGAGTCGTTCCGATAGCCACCAAGGCTAAGATGCCTTGGGGACGCCATTTTGCGCTCCAAGCAAGTAGACTGTGATTGGCCAAGGGGTATAGGCCCTAAGTGCGTGTCTCTCTGATTGGCTAGTTTGAGGAGGACCGGTGAAGAAGGCACCTTGCCGGCCCGGGAATCAGGACGCCGCTCTACCCTGGTACTATCATTGTCGGGCGTGGACTTCAATTCGTCGGCCAGCCAAGTGAAACTACTGTCTCTATGTCTCTAGTGGCTTCTTGTACGTCTTCATATACTCGCAACTTCGACGTGTCCGTAGGGAAGGTTGCAGAATCCAGGAATTCGTCAAATTTGTGGGTATTCTGAGAAGTGTATATAACTGGAAGTGAAAAGTGGGTAAACACACATGCAGGAGTAATGGACAGTTTTGCATCCCCGTCTCCAGCCATCACTCACACCCTCGTCCAAGCTCCTGCTAGCGTCACTTAGCAGTGAAGAGACCTGGGAATATCTTGCCAGTGTTCAGGGCAGGTTTCCCCTAGAAATTCGTGGAAATTTCGGCCCCAGTGAGGGACAGAGACGCTAGCTTTGGTTGTCGCCATTTTGTACGAGCGCCAGGCTTCGCCCTGAGACTAGTGCCAAGCCGCCTCATGAGGAGCGGATATGAACGGAGCCGAGCCACACTGGGTTCCACTGTAACCTGGCCGCGACACCCTGGAGGAGACTAGCCATAGCCGCTCTACCAGACTACAGTACAGCAGTGTGTGTGTGCATGGTAGTATGTTTGAACGGGCCGGCCGTATTATTGAGAATCACATATTAAAGATTTATTACAAATAAAATATTGTCATTATTGGGATTGTTATTATAGGTAGTGGAGGTGGCGGCGGTACTCACTGAGGACGTCGGCGTCCGGGAAGGTGAAGGGCGCCTCCGTGGACGGCAGCGGGGCGTTGGGATCTGTGGGGGTGGCAGTAGGGCCAGGCCGGGGCAGGGAAGGTAGCAGAAATATAAACATATTAGAATTAGCAAATCGTCCTCTGTGTGGTCCTCATTTTCACACACACACGCATACACATACATTCACACACACAGACACACACACACACACACCCTAGTAACAATAATTGTGTGAACCACTTGTGACTGGCATTGCTCTTGCTGGTCATTTAGTTAAAAATATTTAAAGTTTAATAATAATAATAATAATAATAATAATAATAATAATAGAGAAAATCACACTAACGCGATGAGAAAATCCACTGGGGCAGTGAGGCTACTCGAACCCGCGACCAAGACATTGCCCGCTGTATACTCTACCACTGTACCACCGTCAAGAACCGGACCAGTGGGCCAGATATTCGAGGGGAAGAACTGGACACTTAGGTGGTATTGTCCGGACAATTGAAGGGACTGTTCTCTGTGCGGGTCTTAGTGACATATGTCACGTAATACACAATATGTATAAATATCCCAACATATTTACTGTATACAAAAAAATCTGATTTTAAATCTAAGAAGTTATAGGAAATATATATATACGTTGAACATTATGTTGAAAAGGGAATACAAAAGTGTTTTTTCATTACTCTGGTGACAGTCAATGAAGGAATATTTGATAGCTAAATGTACTTGATAGCTGAGGGTCAGCTATCAACTGACATGTGTACAGCCATCAACTGACATGTGTACAGCCATCAACTGACATGTGTACAGCCATCAACTGACATGTGTACAGCCATCAACTGACATGTGTACAGCCATCAACTGACATGTGTACAGCCATCAACTGACATGTGTACAGCCATCAACTGACATGTGTACAGCCATCAACTGACATGTGTACAGCCATCAACTGACATGTGTACAGCCATCAACTGACATGTGTACAGCCATCAACTGACATGTGTACAGCTATCAACTGACATGTGTACAGCTATCAACTGACATGTGTACAGCTATCAACTGACATGTGTACAGCTATCAACTGACATGTGTACAGCTATCAACTGACATGTGTACAGCTATCAACTGACATGTGTACAGCCATCAACTGACATGTGTACAGCCATCAATTGACATATGTACAGCTATCAACTGACATGTGTACAGCTATCAACTGACATGTGTACAGCCATCAACTGACATGTGTACAGCCATCAACTGACATGTGTACAGCCATCAACTGACATGTGTACAGCCATCAACTGACATGTGTACAGCCATCAACTGACATGTGTACAGCCATCAACTGACATGTGTACAGCCATCAACTGACATGTGTACAGATATCAACTGACATGTGTACAGCTATCAACTGACATGTGTACAGCTATCAACTGACATGTGTACAGCCATCAACTGACATGTGTACAGCTATCAACTGACATGTGTACAGCTATCAACTGACATGTGTACAGCTATCAACTGACATGTGTACAGCTATCAACTTAATGTCTTGGTGTGTCAAAACAGGCGTTATGTAAATGTGAGGTTCTTCAAGATCTGCTGATCATAGCATGGAAGCTTTAGACTACAACACTCCGCTTGGAACATTCCTTTGTCCCAAACATACCCATATTTGCCATATGGGAAAGGGGGGGGGGAAAGGTGACTTCAACGCCATCTTGAAGACAATTCTAGAGCCACGGATCTATGCAAATGATTGGACGATTATCTTTCCAAGAGAGACCACACAGAACGCAAATCACATTACTAAAACTTTCAAAATCACGGCGCGTTGGGAAGTTATCGAGACCCAATATGTGCGTTGTGTGAGGTCCCTCTCGAGGAGGCGGCGTGTACACCACCCAAGGATCAGGCTACATATTAATACCTCACATATATCGACTATTACATTATGTGTAGTAGTGCGGGGATACTTGCAATTTATTGAAAACTATTTTGTGTTAATAGTAATAAATTTACAAGATGTTCAGTTAACTAAGAGTGACTGAACATTTTGGTTGCCAAACTGACGCAGCAACACGCTCCATAACTGTTCGCAGTTTGGATAATACGTGCAACAAACCTACATGCAAAAGGAACAATGCCTGGCGCACAGGTGGACCCTTGTGTTGTGTGCTACTGATGAGGGAAGAAACTGTAGAAAGAACTCGGGTCTGTTCTTTAAAGGAACTGTAAAGAACAGTTTGTGGCGTGTCTTTTTAGGAGATTGTAAAATACACTCACCGCCAGTCTATCATTATTATTATTATTATTATTTATTATTATTATTATTAATAATTAAAACTGCTACTACTGCCAGTGGTGCTAGTATTACTGATAGTAGTACTTGTACTAGTAGTAATGTTATGAGTAAGAGCAGCAGCAGGAGGAGGAGACTCCAGGCAGCAACAAGGCATCTTCCATCACAAGTGGCCCTCCCAACGCGCCCAAGAGCTCGTTGTTTACAATATTTGATATTTGGCTCCAATGGTTATGGCTGGAGTCTCTTCGTGCTGCTGCTGCTTCTGCTGTGGCGGCGGCTGCTTCTGCTGTGGCGGCGGCGTCTGCTGCTGAGGGGCGCCGTCTGCTGCTGAGTGGGCGGCGTCTGCTGCTGAGTGGGCGGCGTCTGCTGCTGAGTGGGCGGCGTCTGCTGCTGAGTGGGCGGCGGCGGCTGTGGCGGCTGCCCGTAATTGGTGTTAGGCTGTGGGGTGGTTGCACAAACGAGGGTAGTTGCACTGGTGTTGGTACAACGCGCTGTGGCGGCTGCTGGCGTTGGTCGTCTCACAGATGGTCCGTCTAAGACAAAGTTAATAAGACAAATTTCCTATAATATCCTCAGGCAAAAGAACAAGTCTAAACTATAGTAATTCTTTACTGTGAAAATCTACAACACAGATCCAAAGAATACATATGAGTGGGACTTTAACTAAACAAGAAGGGGAGACTTAGTCATGACTTTACAACACTTATCAACATTCTTTATCTACAACAGAAAAGGCACAGTTGAGGATTCAGTGACACTCACCATATTTAAGGAGCTTTGTGAAGTTAAATTGTTGTCGCACCTTGCCGTTGTCGTGATGGAGTCTCGTCACCCTGAGCCGGATATAACGTCTTGCTCGTGTCTGAGGAATTGTTCTTGAGGGAATGATGGGGTCGTCTGCCATATGTGATCAGGACAGAACCTTCTGTTGTCTTACCCGGGGGCCAGATTCACGAAGCAGTTATGCAAGCACTTACGAACGTGTACATCTTTCCTCAATCTTTGACGGCTTTGGCTCATTTATTAAACAGTTTTGAAGCATGAAAACTTCCCATTCAACTGTTGTTATTGTTATAAACAGCCTCCTGGTGCTTCGGAGGTCATTAACTGTTTAATAATTGTAAACAAAGCCGCCAGAGGTAAGGTAATTATCAAAAGAAGGCACCAAACCGGGAAGGCTATGTAGCACCATCAAAGTGCGAATTAATCAGAGGGCGCTAAATATCACCAAGAATGCCAATACGAGAACAAAAACGCATAAGCGAACGATATCAAAAGTATGCGATTCACCTATAATTCTATCGAGGGTCAAGTGACCGCGAGGGATGGTCGGAAAGCAAGACACGCTCGTTCTGGAAGTCAGGACATTCAACTAGGATATGCACAACTGTAAGAGGGACAACGCAATTTGGACAAAAAGGAGCAGGGTCGCGATCCATTAAGTGACCGTGGATTAAGCGAGTATGGCCAATCCGCAGCCTTGCCAAAGCAGTTTCCCACCACCGGTCACGGTGGTAGGAGGAAGGCTTCGGGGACACACTACGTTTGAGAGTACGCAGCTTGATACTAACTAAAGAGGACCAACAACCCTGCCAACGGGCAAAGATAGAGGAATGAATAACAGGATAAAAGTCGGAATAAGGAATACCTTTACGGGAGATGGGACAAGAATGGATAGCTTCCTTAGCGGCAGCATCCGCGCGCTCATTTAAAGAAACACCAATATGGCTGGGAACCCAGGAAAACTCTACTGATTTAAATTTACTAGAAATAAGAAACAGCCAACATTGAATCTTGACGACCACCGGATGGACAGGATTAAAGGACCCTAGAGCCATGAGGGCACTACGAGAGTCAACTACAACCACAAAGGAGAAATGACAATGAGAAAACAAGAGACGGAGAGCATAGAGAATAGCATAAAGTTCTGCAGTGAAGACACTAGCCTCCGAAGGGAGGCAACACAACAGAGTAGCCCACACTGTCCGCAGACTTAGACCCATCGGTGATGACGGAAATAGAGTGGGAGTGCGAAGAAAAGTGCTCAAGGAAGAGGCGTTTCAGAATCATAGGAGGGGTAAAGGCTTTAGTGATATGAGTCAAGGACGTACAAAACTTGCGAAGGGGGAATCTCCACGGACGAGTTATAGTTACATCACATACATTGTATAACGAATGCATTACATAGTCAAAAGTTATCGAGAAGTTTGTTTCTTCCTTGCCTCCACGGAGGCAAGGAAGGAACAATACGAGGAGAAACATTAGAAATATGAACAGAAAGAGAATCCTGTAAGCGAGATAACCGAACAGAAAGAGGGAGACGATGAAGAGGAACTGGAGCTACAGGGGTAAAAGTTAAAGTTCTCTCTTCTCTTAAAAGTTCTCTCCCCTCCCCCAGCAACAGCTGGGGGAGGGGAGAGAAAAGAATACCAGGACGAGGAAGATACCAGGACGAGGACCAAGCATCGGCTCCTGGACACAGACACAAAGGGGAGAAAATTGTGAAATTAGAAGTTGGAGGTCAAGGAAATTGGCGTAATATCCACGGATGTTCTATTGAAGAATAGACATGGGCAAAAAGAGAGAGGAGAGCAACAGAGAGCAAAGAAGAAACAAAGGTGAAAAAGGAACACAGCACGTTAAAGAAGCACAGGGTCAGGATCAGGGTCAGCATCAGTGAAGTCAGGGTTAGGGGGCATGGGTAAACTAAGTAAAGAAGGAGGGAAAGAAGCGGGAGGACAGACCAGAGGTGGATAAGCAGGGTCTGGAAGAGGAGGAGGGGCAGAAAGAGGGGAGCGCACCTCAGCAAGGGTAGTAACCGAGATGGAACCGGGGGCAAAAGAAACCCCCACAGTAGGAACAGGGGGCTCCACCACCGAAGCGGGAGGGGAAGGAACGATAGAATCAGAGATAGGGGGCGAAGAAGAAAGCGAAGCCTTCTTACCGACCGGGGAGGAGGAAGGAG